AATCTTAATTAATTCAATAAATACAAAGAAAGAGACGACGCAAAACGCAATTCCAACATGCATCAATCATATCAAAATGCCAGTCATAACAATTAGTAATTAATTAGTTAGGTTAACTACTAATTTTAATTCTTTAACTTCAAAATTTTATACAATTTTCATCCCTTAATTATTTTAGATACTTTTTAATCCTGCATTTAGGCCTTCGGACCAGTAGCATCAGGCCACGCATAAGTGCATTCCCCCATTCCCATGGCAACGATTCGAATCCGACTTTTTTCGAATTTGTTCAAAAAAAAAAAACTTTTTAATCCCTCAATTTTAATATATATATATATTTTGTTCCTTTATTTGTTAATTTGTTAAATCTATTCATATATGTATATTTTTAGTCTCTAACCTTATAAAAATATTTAGTAACTAAATATATATATATAGACAGATTTATGTTTAATTTGACAATACTAATCTATAACTGCAATTGTAGTTTTTTTTTTATCTTTTAACACCTTAAGAATATATAAAATATATTGTATATATTTAATATTGATTTTAATTAATATTTTATATATTTTTAAAATAATAAAAATATATTAAAACGAAAAGGTAAAGTCTCAAAAAGGGTTATCAAATGAAGTCTTAACCGATTAACTTAACTGATGAAAAGATAAAAAATATGTATATATTTTAAAGCGGAGGGATGAAGATGCAAAAACAAGAATTAAAGAACGAAATTTATAATTAAGAGAGTACAATTTACATTTAACCTAATTAGTTATTTAATCAACAAAGACCATCATCCTCAATCCTGGACTGGACCTTGACCAAGTCCATATGCATTGCTCCCTCAGTCAAAAGTAAGACCCATCCAACGCGTTGAACCTCTCCCCTTATTTCACTCACTTCACTCTAATCTTACATAACAATCGCCGCCCCATTTCCAAGCAATATTTCAGCAGCCTCCCTCAAAATCTACACTTATATAACCCCCCAATCTTGCTACTTGCTGCATACACATCCATCAAAGATCTTTACTTTTTTACATCTCTAATCGTGGGTCGATTTTGAATTTTGATTTTAGAGTCATGGGATTTGATGATCCACAGACGAATTCGAAGCCGTTTGTGATTAGGGAAGTTTGGTCGAGTAATTTGGAGTCGGAGTTCGAGTTGATCCGTGAAGTGATTGATGACTACCCTTTTATCTCCATGGATACGGAGTTCCCTGGTCTGATTTTCAAATCAGCGTTACCGTACAGCCGCGAAAGACGGCAGTCCGATCACTACAAAATGCTGAAATCTAACGTTGACGCCTTGAACCTCATCCAAGTGGGTCTCACCTTTTCCGATGCTTACGGTAACCTTCCGGATCTGGGGACGGGAACCCAATTTATATGGGAGTTCAACTTCCGGGACTTTGACGTTACCCGCGACGATCATGCGCCCGACGCCATAGAGCTATTGAGACGGCAAGGGATTTGATTTTGAGAAGAACAGGGAAGAGGGTATTGACTCGTTCCGGTTCGCTGAGTTGATGATGTCATCGGGTCTGGTTTGCAACGATTTAGTGAGTTGGGTGACGTTCCACAGCGCTTACGATTTCGGTTACCTGGTGAAGATCCTAACCCGCCGGGCCTTGCCGGACGGCTTGGACGGGTTTCTGAGCCTTCTCCGGGTGTTCTTCGGAGAAAGGGTGTATGATGTGAAGCACATGATGCGGTTCTGCGATAGCTTGTACGGCGGGTTGGATCGAGTCGCCGGGACACTAGCTGTGAGCCGAGCGGTTGGGAAATGCCATCAGGCCGGATCGGATTCGTTGTTGACGTGGCACGCGTTTCAGAGGATGAGAGACGTTTGCTTTGTCAAAGACGGGCCGGAAAAGCATGCCGGCGTGTTGTATGGATTAGAAGTGTATTAGCGTTTTCTTAATTATGATTAAATAACATAATCCTATTTAAT